TCACACCATATTATTGATTCAATTCTTTAATGTTTATGATGTTTTATGATATTTATAAGCCGCCCTGAGTAGATGCTGTCTAGGGGGGGCAGGGTAGAAATCTAATAAATAAATAAATAAAAATAAAATTCATAGCTCTATATTCTGTCCCTTTTCCCACGGCGCCCCGGCTTGAATCCCTGGCTGCTCCACAGAGCAATGCACAGTTTGGGAACCACTGCAGAAAAGGAATTAAAACAGGAATCTTTTGTGTTGTCTTAAATTTCATTTCTTATTTGCAAATTACTGAAGATTATCTGTTTAATTTTCTTATATGAGCTTTTATTGATTTGAAAGAAACTAATTAGAAATTTCCAGACTTTTTCTCAATGGTCAAAGATAAGAAATATCTGTGATACTATGCTGTTGGAGTTCCCTTCCCCACCCCCCAGCATGAGGAACAGGTTTTTTTTGTTTTTTCCCCAGGCTTTTAATTTTTTAAAATCCCAAATTATTTTAATGATGTATAGATCTTGGGTCATTTTTAGAATTTTATGTCCAAGACATTTTGGATTCTGCTGTGTGTTTTGCTGTTTGTTTTATCCTTTGTTGCTAGGTTTTATGTTGTATTTAAATGCTACAGTTTTAGTTTGATATATTGTTTGTTTTACAATGTAAATGGCTTCATCTGTTAGTGAGCTTCAGAAATGGGTAGAAATAACAAACTTTTTTAAAAAATGGATGAAATATTGCATGACTGCATTTTTAAACAAACTACATCCACATTCTAAAAAGCTGTATAATATAATTACATCTAAATTTTTCCTTTCTTCTACTGGTTTGGGCACATTTATGTAGAGTTATTTCAGCCCAGTGCACAACATCTGATGGAAATGGATCATATGAAGAATGTTGCTTGTCTCAAGTCTCATATGAACATTATGGTTCTGTGATATATGACTTTTTGTGTACCTTTCCCCCAAAATCTCTTATATTGTATTTGATTTATCTTTTTGGCTGTTGAAGCTAATACAATAAATATTTTAGAGCTCCCCAGCTACATTCATGACTCCCAAATGTTTCTATATAAAGCTCCTCTGGATTATAGCCTAGGAGAGACTCAAACATGCTAGTATTTACCTAAGATGTTTTCCCATTGGGAATACTGCTGTAATTGTTGTTTGCTCAGGGAAAAGAAAATGATCCCTTAATATTAACAAGCAACCACCACAAGGAAGTGCTTCAAAAGCTTACAAACTGGAATATTTTTGTTATACATGACCTGTGTTAAATTGTGAATTTTTCTGGATCTAATTTTAGTAATAATAGAGGAGATGTAGATTAATAAGTAGTGGGTGACTTCACTTCGTAAATGTTATACAGTGACTTTAGCTACTATATAATAATGATCATGTGCCATCTGATTTACAGAGATCTTTTTCAGACTTTTCCAGGTAGAGAATATTCAGAAGTGTTTTATTATTCATTTCTTCTGTAGGCACGCTGAGACTATGCAGCTTGTCCAAGTTTGGTTCTACAGGTTGTGCAGTGAGATCAAACTCCCAGCCTCTGGCTCTGCAGCCAGATACCTAAACCACTGAGCTATCCAACCAGCTAGCTATTCTACAGTTACGATTAATAACAACTTTTCCTTTTATCTTCCCCCATAAAATGAATGGTAGAGACTAGCTGGAATCCTGCTGGTAGTACCGACACAGTGGTCCCTAACCTTGGGCCTCCAGATGTTCTTGGACTTCCAAGTCCCAGAAATCCTGGCCAGAAGAGGTGGTGGTGAAGGCTTCTGGGAGTTGTAGTTCAAGAACATCTGGAGGCCCAAGGTTGGGGAACACTGGACTAGAACACATCCATACTACTGTGGTTAGGATTAGGAATTGGATTTTGGCTGGTATCTTTTTTCTTTCTTTTTGGCAAGATTTTATTATGGAAATAATTCCCCAGTACTGCAGTTCTCTTTCTCAATCCTGCCATCTTGTTTAAAATCTGAAGCCTCTACTTTTTTCCATATAGATGACACAGAATGACAATTATGGGCTGAACATTGTGGTTTTCTAATCTTCCCTCACCTTGGATAGAATTAGCCTTTGGCGGAAAATGTCTTATCCTGGAATGTGTTTCCCAGGGAGACTCTGGGACTCTTCGGAGCATACCAGCTCCCTATTGAGGTCAGGATTTCAAGATCCAGTGTGTTATATGTGTGATGGGTTTCTTGAGACAGGTCCCCTCTAAATTGTCCACTTGCATAAAAGACTCAAGTATAGGGTTTCAGAAACTGTCAGGATTGAGAGGTTGAAGTACAGTAGCAACAACAGTAGCTATAAGAAAAGCATTGTCAAAAAGAAATCTATTTATTCCTGTGGGGGAATTGACCCAGAACATTTCACCAGCCATAACTATATTGCAGATAATGACACAACATCACTAACGGTCAACTGCTTCTTGCATTTGAGACCATTACAAAACATGATCAGTGAGCCACAGCCTATTTTTTACAGTACCATATTTTTCGCTCCATAACACGCACCTTTCCATAACACGCACCAATTTTTTAGGAGAAGAAAACAGGAAAAAAACTGTTTTCTTCTCCTAAAAATTGGTGAGCCTTATGGAGAGGTTCATCTTATGGAACACACCCTAGGACCCTTTGGAGGCTCACCCTGCCCCCCCGGGCGTCAGAGGGGGCAAAATCGCCAGCTTCTGGGACTCTTCTGAAGCTTCCCAAGCCTCAAAAGAG